GCACATATTCTCATTTTATAGTGTGCATTTTCCGCACACATGTTTAGTTTTGAAAATTTAAAATATTTTAAATTCTTTATATATCATTGCGATGAGACGAGTAAAAACTTTATCATAAACCTTATTGAATGTATAAATACTTTTAAAATAAAAAAAAAAGCATATAAATATTTTGCTTTAACATTTGTTCTATTATAAAATCTCTCTTAAATGAACCTATATATATGTATATGTGATCAGCACAAAATATTATTATCATAAAAGGTTATCTTTTCAAATCATCTGTTAACTGAATGGGTTAATCTAACAAAAAAAAAAGATGTGTATTAATTATTTATGTGCTAAATCTAATTGTATTGTATATATATATTACGCATTATATTTAATGAATGGGCAACTCTCCAATTTGTGTTCTTTAAAACATCAGTCTGTGCCCCAAAATTACAAAGAAAATAGTATAGCTTCCTGCGCGACGATTGATATTGCCTAATTTCATGATGCGACCATTTCTTACTATTATTCATATATATACTGTATAAATTATTATTATTCTATTATTTTAAAATGTTAGAGAAATGGGTTTTTCAGCCAAGCAAATCTTGTGGAATCGTGAAATTCGTTGATACAATACGTTTGATTATGCATTTCTTGTAATGATGATTGCATTCTTCTTGTTTCAATATTATATTGTAATACTCTACTCTTTTTGTGATACCCTTTTTTTTGTGATTCTTCTCCCAATATTTTCAACCCTAAAGTATTCCATGGTGGTATATATGCATGCATACAAAAAGGTTTCGAGACAGAAGTACACCAAAATCAATCAAGTTGATTGATTAATCAATAGACCCACAAGGGCAAATAAAATCTCTTATTATGTTAACATTACATTAAGCATATGGTTTAAATAAATTTTATAGGTCAGAATTTACAGTACATGGATAGCATCGATTTTTTTTATGCGTTCTCACTTTTTTCCCCATAAAAATATATATTAAAAAAAAAAATGATTCTTTATTACTAGATTGTATGTCAAATGACGTGTAACAAGGAATTTGCGAGATGCTAGAAACTTTGAAGAAACTAAGAGAATAAATAATCAATCACATTCATCGAATTTGAATCGATGTAGTTTTATCAGTTTTATTTTATTTTTATTTTATTTTATTTTTGATGTGGTTTCTCGTCAAATTTTTTATTTTTTTTCTTAAATCGCGCGAAATCGCACATCATTTATATGCTGATTTAAATAAATGAATAATTTAATTGCGCGTTTTGATACGTTTACAAGGTGCAGCAGACGAGATGGAATTTTTTTTATTTAAAAATAATTAAATAAGAATATATGGTTTTTTTTTGTAAACATTTTTTTTTTGTTTGCACGACATATTTAAATATATTTTTTATTTTGTCTACTTATAATACGCGATTCAAAGATATTAATTATAACATGCCAAATTTTTTTTTAAAATTCCAATTTTAGGATCAATAGATGTTAATTGCCCTAAAAAAAGATTAT